CCGGTGACCCGGACAAAAAGCCGGTTCGGTTTTTTCAAAACCCGGAAATGGTCAAAAACCGGAAAAACTCGGTTGACCCGGGAAAACCCGGTCAAGATCCGGACCCAAGAAACCCGGTAAAACCCGGTAAAACCCAGTTTTTGGGTGTTTTTACCAAAAAAAGTAATTTCTTTTTTATTTTTAATGCATTTTTTTACCAATAAAATTGCAATTTCAATACTTTAAAAAGAAAAACTACGTAATATATTTATATATTTATTTAAGAATGAACATCATGCCAAATTATAATATAGATGTACAATAAAAATAAAAATATCATTATATATTTGTATAAGATCAAAATATACATTGAAATATTATAAGAGTGCATTAAATGCTTAATAAGTAGTATTTTTAGTTGATTATTATGGATAATAACTAATTTTTATTATAATTTTATATATAATTATATGTTTACTATTAATTTATAGACGTATAATCATTGACCGGTTTTCCGGCGTTGACCGGGTTGACCCACCGGGTCCGGGTTGACCCGTGACTCAGTCATGTGGCCGGGTCACTCTCCGGTCCGGTTTTTACAACATAGGTATTTACCAAATATCACAATTTTTTTTAACGAATAAACAGCCGCATTTCTTACTTTAATTTTATGCACTAGTAAATTTTGATTATATAGTAGTGGTACTATTATACTCGATTGAGCCTCAACCTTTTTAACTCAACTAGTTACTTTGGCGCGCTTTGCGCGATTAGATTAGTGCCCAATTTAGTTGTGTGATACAATTATTTGATTATTGTTTTTAGAGTTACCTGAGTGGCAAGAGTGATGAATAAGATTTTTTATAAATAAATATTAAATACAAGGTAAGGATGTAGGGGTCACTTCTAAAGAATGTGTTTTTTGAAATATACAGTTGTAGAATGGAATTAATATTTTCAATATTATCCTCTAGATAAATTGGTACATATATGCAATATAAGCATGTAAAATACTCTTATCCCTAAAATTTTGTTAATTTTCTTTTTTTGGTTGTCTCACTAACTTTGTTGGTTTCTTCTTACAGTCAATTTGTGATTTTTGTTGATTCTCTCTCCATTGCACAAATCTCAACAACACTGTTTTTTACTTTATTAATCACTAGCTTTCAAGCCCGTGCGATGCACGGGCAGTATGTAATTTAGCTAATTTGAAATTTGATTTGCTTCGGATCATATGTAATGTGATTTAAAAGAAAAATAAACTTAGTCCAATATAGAGCTCGTTTGATAATACTAAAAATAAATCGAATTAACTTATTTTAATGAAATTGATTAAATTTTGGCTGAATGGGCTGAATGGATGAAATCTCCTGAATCATGAAAAAAATATGTAAAATATATTCCATTTGTGAAGCCAAGAAAAGATTATATGAAAAATAGTTAAATTGATCTTCTACATAAGCATCTCAAGTAAATATAATTGTTATGAACCCGATTTTAAAGAATTCATAATCTCACGTCCTCCAAGTTACTTTATTAATTATGCACCTCAAGTTTTTTCCTTCTACTATTCCTCATTCAACTTGATGTGAAATACTGAGTACCTACTTTTAACTTTTAATAATAAGATGTTACATTTTACTCATTATTTCGTCACACCGTAAATGTAAAAAAATGAAGTTTTTTTTATACATTTTACTCATTATATTTCATTACATTGAAAAAATAATTTAATTGTTATAAACATCTAACAAATACTTTTCTAGTATTTCTCATTCAACTTGGTATGAAATACACATTTTAAAATTTTAATTGTGAGATCTTATATTTTTCTCATTAATAAGGACATTTTTAATTGAATTAAACTTTTGGATTTGATTTGGTAAGAATTAATATGGTCTAGTAGATGTTTGTTTTGCATTTTATGTGACTTATTATTATTATTATTATTAAAGTTTGATCTGATTTGATTTAATCTGGAATTGAAATCAATCCAATTAAAAAAATTCTATTAAAAATAAAAGTATGAATTTGTAAACATATAATATATGCAATATGCAATCGTGATATACTTTTGTCAGTTATTTGCAAAGTAAACATATAATATATGCAATATGCAATCGTGATATCAATCATGATATGCAATATGCAATATGCAATATGCAATTTGTAAACGTATAAGGTAGATTTATACGGATTCCTATTTCCATATTAATATGCCATTAAAATAGAATCTAGCTAATTAAAATAGAAGGTATAAAAATAATTAAATAATTAATATATATATATATATATAATGACATGGCAGGATTATGTGGCGCTTTGTATGATCTTAAAAAGTTCCTCTTTTATATATATATTGATTATTTCAGGCAAACTTGACCACGTTTTAAGAGACAGAGAGAATAAAAAGTATTTCCATTAACAATAGCAATGAAGCGAGCAACACTTGAGTTTCATAATAACACTTGAGTTTCAACTTTCAACCAAGTTAAATAACCAAATTATCAATGACTTAGATTTTACCAAGTTAATTTTTCCCTTGCAAATAATGCCATCAGACATATTCAAGCTGACTATAATGCTCTACCATGTCATCGTAAGAAGGCATGTATGTCTACTTGAATTAGAATACTTATTAATTATTTGGACCAAACCACATTACACGATTGAATTTTGTTATCTAGTGTGACCCATGGTCTTGGAAACCCATACTTTTTTTTATGTAAGAGTCTAATAAGCAAAAAGGATTTGGAAAAGTTAATTGGAATACGGAAGAATCTAAAAAAAAGTAAGGAGTTTATTGAAAACCCAGATAAGTGCAATTCATGACAAGTTTTAGATCGATGACCAACTTTATATACTTCTTTTATCAATCTATAAGTGCAATTTATGAGTGTACGCAATGTATGCCATTTAAGCACCTCATCTTCAATCAAGGGTTGAGTTGTATTAGCAAGTATCGAGAATTTGAATCAAAGCTTTGGAATATAGGGTCAATCTAAGTTACAAACAAAACCTATTGATTGTTGATAACCGCGATCACAATAAATAAAATACTCTTACAAATAGAAGAACAAATCAATTGTTTTTGAAAGAAAAGATACAAAATTTAAGAGTATTTAAATTTTAAAGATAAAAGATTGAAAGATATTTTAGTTTAACTCTTGTTTCATGACATTGTTTTATGTCAATATTTTCCTCGATAGTCTATAATCAAGAGTTTTAAACATGAAATCTCTATATAGCTTTGTGGATGCATCATATAATGAACTTATAGGAAGTATACAATTTATAGGAAATCAAAGCCAAATGCATCAGGATACAAGGAAACTCTTTCAATGTCTTACACCATTAACATTTGTCAATCTAACAGCTATGATTACGGTGTGTATAACAATTGTCACAAATGAAATTTAGCTTCAATAGCATAACTGGAGATATCCTGACTTCCCTTTCGAATATGACTTCATTTGACTATTTTGTTTACACAGAAAGCTGACGTGTTTTCTTTAGTGATGTGGCTCCCAAGGTTGCAACAGTAGATCAAATTTTAATGTGAACTTGGAGGAAGAACAAATATATCTTCTTGTTTCAGCCTGAGCTAACTGTCCACGGAGCATACCCCACATGATATAACAAAAGAAAAAAGGAGGGGGAACCTAGAATACAAAAAAACGCAACAACCAAAAGTCGAACAATAGGAAGCCATATAGTAAGAGCCATGCGAGCAAGACAATGAAATAGTCCAGTGGAACTGTGGAAGAATACTACTCGTAGGCCAACTGAAAATAATCATTTTCTTTTAATGAAAGAATTATATGATTGGTGTTGACTGTCTCATTTCTAAATAAATACGGAGTATTAAACATATAATATTGTTGTATAAGAAATAATAATTTTGCTACTTAAAAAAACGTGTAAAAAAGAAATATAAAGCAAAAGTGATAGGTTATTCATTGCTCAATGGCATACCCATCTAAAATAAGCTGAAATATATGTTGATTAGGTGTTAATGCCTATGTTGGCTCTTCTTCAGGTTCTGTCCTTGCCTTTAGCAAAAGCTTTGCCCAAGTATGCTTCACAAATGACAAATTTTCACTTTGATTATATTACCCTCAATAAAAGTTTGCTCAGGATCATTTCTTTACTCAAAAAATTAGTAAAATAAGCACACATGTTCAAGAAAGGTGAGGTGCCGGCACGGTTCGGAGTACCTGGGTGAGGGTAGGGCGAGGTTGGGAAACGGAGAGAAAACTGTTGGGTGCGGTATGTTGAAGGCTACCCGGCAGAGGAAGATGAAAAGAGGGAAGTTGCGGGGAGTGATGACGGAAATAAACGGCAAGGTAAGTCCTTTTAAAAGAGTACACATCATAAATGGGATAAGGGTCAGTTTGGTCCTCGAAGTTGCAAAAAAAAAGTCAAATAAGTCCTTATATAGAGAATTCTGTCCGGACGTGCCATTTGAGGTGGCTCCCAGTGGAATTTTTTGATGAAATTTTTTGAGCATCTTATTCATTAAGTCTAGTTTACTCATATCAAATTTCAGATAAAAATTCAATCGGGAAGACATTCAAATGAATTCTTGAAGATAACTGTGCCGTTAAAAGCGCAGTTATCTTCAAGAATTCATTTGAATGTCTCCCCGATTGAATTTTTAGCTGAAATTTGGTATGAGTAAACTAGACTTAAGGAATAAGATGCTCAAAAAATTGCATCAAAAAATTCTACCGGGAGCCACCTCAAATGGCACGTCCGGACAGAATCTTCTATATAAGGACTTATTTGACACTTTTTTTGCAACTTCGAGTACCAAACTAACCCTTTACTCCATCATAAATCATATTGTACCACTCAATAAGCTACATGATTAAACCAACATTTTTTTTATTCCCTAAATGCCCTAATCTTCATTGGCAATTATAAGATTGGAAGATTAGATAGTCGATTGTGTCATGTAATCCTATTTTACCGTCTATCATATGATCTATGAAGAGAATTTTAATCCGCTAAGGTTCAAGGAGCCAAGGACTAAGGACCATTTTGAATCCAAAATACACAATTGGGAACTAAATAGTCCTAAACACGCAATATATTTAGTGAATCTACAAAACATGCTCTAATGCTCTCATTATATAATAATGAAATGGCATCCAAATCACATTATGTATTAACATTAACAATAAACAATACAAACAAAGAAGCAGACGGAACAAGGGTGTTCCCTCTATTGTCTCATTACAACCTCTGAGCCTGCATATAAATTATCTTTCATATGAGGAAACGTCTGAGAAGTCAGAATCATTTGATAAGTTCTTTCCATCTGTCTCTTATTGGAGATGACGACAGGGAAAACAAATGACCACTGCTCTTGAACTCAAAGATCTCAATTACTTCAGGTGCACAAAATCGTAAAGGGCGGCTCATAATCTTTAAAAGGTACAAATAAACTGCTTGATAGGTAAAACCTTACTAACGAGTAACAAGCAATGGTGGGGTGGTCTGGTGTCATAGCTTTTTAGTTATTTCCTCATCTGCCCGCTTGTAGTATGTCATTCTTCGGATAGATGATGCAGCTTCTTCTGCGTTTCTGTTCTCAAAAGCTACTGCAAATGATTTTGACCACTCTTCATACTTTTCCCTTAGCTGCAAAGTAAGATAGGATGAAGGAAAATAGAAAAGCTCTTACATCCTGTATTGATATATATCTAACAACTAATTTTGCCTTTTGTTTTTCTATGTTTTACGAGCTCATATAGTCATTTGTATACCTGTGCCTGAATATGTTTCAATGATTGTGGGTCTCCTGATTCTTCAATAGTTTCCCTGATCTCCATAATCTTCACAGTTCAAAGAGGTAAGTGGCCAGTTAGGAAATAAAAAAAGTCACAAGGGTGGTGGATGAAATACCTCCCCTAGCAGCTCAGGGTCCAAAATCCTCTCCTCTTCGTCTACGTGCCATCCTTCCAACTTCACCTACCCAGAAAGAATGTACCCGATAAAAACATAACATATGTTACACACATAGAGACAATAAACCAAAATGTATTACAAAATTGACCATTGCAAAGCAAAACAAAAGGATATATATATTAGTTCGAGTATTTAATGCTGCTATCAGTTTTGCGCTCACACGCAAGAGTGGTATCATGTTTAGAACTTCAACCAAGTCTCCTGTTATGTTTCACTATTTCATATCCGCATTTATAAATAAAAATGCAGCAGAAGAGTTTATTTGTTTAAAAAAATGTCAAGTCTCACCAAAGAAAACCAGTCAGAATAAACCAAGCAATTGTATTCAATTGAAATCCAAATATTGGAGCATGAAAATATGAGATAGCTCTGATCTTGAGAGAATGAGAGGTCAGCTTTAGAATGAAAAGGGATATAACCAAACAATAACTACATAAAACACAAACCTACAAGATATTTTGCTCTTGACAATGAGTTGGTGAGAGTCCGATATGCATCGATTACACGAGCAGACTGTTCAGCAGCAAACTCCTTTTCTTTCTAACAAAATGCCAAATCAAAATCATCAACCACCAAACCGTATAACAAAAATACTTATTCCACAAAAAGTCAAACTGCAAAAATAAATAGCTTTATATACTTCAAACTCCACCCCATTTTAGGAAATTGCACACAAATTAAGGAATAACATAAAAGCACTTATTTATAATGCCTTGTGATTCTCTTTTTCTAATTAATATTTATTACAAACTATCAATATTTCTCTCAAAATTTATTCTTATGTATCTCAAGATATGGAACTTTAAAAATATTTTGTAATATCAAGGACTCGAGTCATGTAATAAATCTTATCATTCCCAGTATCAATCTTTCAATTATCAAATATTGAATAAGGGAAACTAGGAAAGAAGAGTGGAAATTATATCTTGGATTCCTAAACCGATTATTATTTTAGGACAGATTTGAATGGCTAGATTCGCTAGAATGAAAAATAATCAGGGATCAAGGGAATATACCTTGGATTTCGTATGAACCAAGTCAGGATGGAGCTTCCTCTGCCAGTCTTTGTACTTGAGCTCAAGATTCTGCCCCTTAATTTCATATCTTTTCTCCCTTTGAAGATGCAAGTGTCAACGTTTAGCTCAAACCAACACAAAAAAAAATGAAAATTCAAACACTTGCACTACAAGAGCTCATGAGTCATGACCAAAGATAAGTTAGGAACTACAATAGCATTGCTTAATGGGAAAAAAAATACAAATGTATTCTCAAAGTTATACTACGTATAACATTAAAAAATATAAATAAATAGGTAATAAAATAAATATAGATCTGCTAGTACCATTTGAAACACTGAATTAATGGTGAAGTTTAAAGATCATATTTCTGCTGGTTATTTAGTTATAGTAATTCTACGTAACAGAAAAAAAAAAGTATAACATCATCCCCAAGAAAGTCTTGTTTGACCAATTCACAACTTTACTATTTTTTTTTGTAAAATACAATTTCCATCCTACTCCTTTCTTATATTTCATTTAACCAAAGTGGGCTCTTCTAGACAGATATGAAATAAAACCCTTGCGGAGAAATAGGACTTACAATCCAAAAATTTGGAAATAATCAATGGATTCATCAACATGTTGAACACTAGCACAAGTTTCACAAAAAAGAAACGGATGGTTACTTGATGCCTCTGAATTACAGTTCCAGCACTTGAGTTTCTCTATAGAAGATACAGTGCAAACATATTTTCCACTTTGGAATTTGGGAATAAGACGTCTTTGACTTTGGAATAAATTAGAAGCAGATGAAGGAGATAATGGAATCGAAACTTGTGAGTAGGAATGAAATGGGATTTGAGGTGACGTTGACCAGAGGATTGGATAACGGTGAGAGAGGGTTCTTGATAAAGTTGTGAGCCTTTTTGTCCACATTGTTTGCGGGAAGAAGGTGGTGAAGCGGTGGGATTGCACTAAGTTTGTAGAAGCTCAGATCAAATGTCCAGATGCACAATCAGGTTGATCTAATGGTCAGGATAGATTGGGCAATGCGATTTGTAACTTGCCTGAAAAGAAAATCACGAAGTTGTGCGTTAGTTATTTAGGCATCAAGAAGTAATTTTAAGTTATTTAATTTTTAATTTATCATAAAAATATACACTCTCCGTCCCACAAAACTTGCACAAATTGACTTTTCTTGGCCATAATAAGGTTTGGACAATAATTTTAGTTAGGTTTAAATATGTTTTTAGTTCCTGAAATATAGTGCATTTTGTTTTACATCCCTACAAAATTATTTTTTGTTTTTCATCCCTGAAATTAACGTTGGTTTTCTTTTTAGTCCATCACAGATGAATGATGAATTGATGATAGCAACATCTGTTTCACAACGAAACAACCCCGGCTAATCGTTTTCCTCTAATTGTTTGTCATGTATTCAAAAAGTATTTAATTTTATTCTTTAGAAGGTTTTTAGTACATATCTAAAAAATATGAATGATTGTTTACATTATTTTGAATCTAATATTATCCTCAAAAAAATTATAAAAGCTTAAATTGAAAAGATTCTAGTAGATTTACGCAATTGACATTATTTTTTTTCTAAAGAGTGGTTTCAAAATTAGACATGGACTAAAAATAAAATAGTGCATATTATGGGAAATGAGTGAGGGATGCAGATTTGAGAGGGAGAATTTTCTCTCTCAAATGCACTAAGTTGATACCATTTCTTGGGTATTATTCAGTTCCTCTAAGGGAGTGAATACTTCATTAAATAACCTCGTTAAATAACCTTTGAAGGCATTCTCAATTGCTAGTTTAAAGCAAGAGTGATAGCAATGACTTGGGTCATAATGGTCATTAGAGTACAGTATTTATATTTATCAGTTTTTAGCTCATTTACCACACAAAAATTGTAAAATGAATAATTATAGAAATCTCATGGCAACATTCAGCTCCTTGGTATCAAATTATCAATTGTGCCTAGAGAACAGATAAAACATAACAAGCAGTTAGTTCCAATTGTCTGTTTCCAATAAATTTTAGTTTGTTCAGTTTCCAAGGAGATTACGATAACAGAATTGTCTGTATCAAAGTATCATCAGTTAGTTCATTGAAATATCAAACCTTAAATTGTAAATTTAAAAAAACGATGGAGACATGAATTAATCAAGAAAGGAGTTTTCTCAAAGAAGAATCAGTATTTCTTCCTTTCTCGAAGTACTGCACTTTAGCTAATAAGGAAAAATATGGATCTAAAAATAGCTCAAACCAGAACTCTTAGATTTATATGAGATCCACAATTACATTATCTGGAGTAGGGAAGAAAAGGAAAATAATTCCAATGATAAGGTTTCTAAATGCATTTTATTATACAAACAGTGTTTAAATGTGCTAACTTCTTTGATGAAATTAAAAATAGAGAAAGTAATCAGAATTAGGAAGCAAATCTGATAGATATTAGAATAGAGAAATCACTCTATGATGGTTTTTGCAATGACAAATGGGTGAATGACTACACAAACCTAACACAGATTAGCAATTATATACACTCACTTTTTCATAAAATAGGCTATTTACAGTTTGAGTTTTTTTTACCTTTAATTGATTAAAGCATTTTTTTAGGTTCTTGAATTCCAAGTGGTCCAATGCAATTATACTTTAGATATATTATGAATAACAGAAATGGCATATGAGTTATGTGAATCATTTCAATTACCCCTAAATTATCACACAGAAAGATAACCCAGGATTGCTCATATTAAGAATATCATAACTGGCAGATGAGTTGTGTGAATCATTTCAATTACCCCTAAATCATCACACAGCAAGGTAGCCCAGGATTGCTCTACAGAATATGTTCAATCCCACAAATCAGGTTTGAGAAACAAGTTTACTTGAAAATTATATTTCCAATCAGGGGCAGCCCTGTACATTTAAAGGCCTAGGGGTAAAAAAAATTAAAATGGACCCACTTATGAAAAAAAATTGTAAAACCAGAGGTGCCCTAATTTAACATGCAAAATAATAATATTTGAAGACTTTTCTAATTAAGACAATACTTGAATTCGTTAAATTAAACACAGTCGAATTATGTTTTCAAAATAACCATATAAAAAATTACTTAAATACATTCTTTGATGAACATTGTGAAGCAAAGTCATCAACTATAGGTCTCCAGCTTCATATATTCAAGCTTTTCCAACACATTATGCTCAATGCTCATAAAAACAAAAAAAATTCATTGCACCCTTTTGACATAGGACCGCATTATCTAATCTTCTCCTCTTCATTTTTTTCTCCCATCTAGATTCAACCATTTTTATTAAACCATCAAATTAGTTAAATTTATAAATTTAATTATAATTGATAATTTTACCTAACAAAATGAACAAATTCTAACACCAACACTCAATAGATAAAATCAACAATTAAGTGATTAAAATGTAACAAATCAACCAACTATTTATCAATTATTCATATCATTTATAAACATTAAACAACTATGAATTAAATTAATTTATCACTTAATAAACTTATCACTTAATCATATGTGAATATTTGTCAAATAAATTAATAAAAGAAAATATTGAAAACTGTAATTCTGTATTTCTGTAAAACAATGGCCGAATTACGGATGCTGAAGGTCGAAAGGTGTACCTGACAAGAACTCTTGAAGGCCTGCTGGCTTAGTGGATCGGAGAGTTGAAGCGGTGCAGGACGCCGATTGGCTGAATCCTGAAGGCCGGAACTCTGGTCTCTGGAAGGACGACCGGCGACCTACGAAGCCGAAGACGGAACAGGCGAAGGCGGAACTCTGGTCTACTTAACTCCTGCGCGTTAGTTACTTAGTTACACCTGTCGAATTTTTTTATAGCAATTTTTTGAGCATCTTATTCATTAAGTCTAATTTACTCATACCAAATTTCAGATAAAATTTCAATCGGGAAGGCATTCAAATGAATTCTTGAAAATAACTACGCAGTTATCTTCAAGAATTTATTTGAATGCCTTCCCGATTGAAGTTTTAGATGAAATTTGGTATGAGCAAACTAGACTTGATGAATAAGATACTCAAAAAATCTATCTTTATCTAAAAGTAAAAGAATTTCATGAACAACACTCCCGCTCAAAACTATCCCCATCAAGACTTATAGTGAAAAAGATAAACAAAGTAGTGTGCAGATTTTTTCCAAGAATGATTACAGTCCTGACAAGGCCATGCTCGCATGAGGTCCCTCCGATCAAGAGAATACATTGGTGTAAAATTAAAATTAAATGATAAATGACATAATTGGGGATGGGCAATGACTATAAGCATTAAGCAAGGTTTATGCGTGTGAATTTCTCTGACTTTGATTAGTAATTTCATCTGCGCTGCCCATACCAATTCATATTGGGTTTTTTCCAGCCATATATTCGAATGTAAATTTGGCTATAAATACATTTTTGATCACATGGTTTCCTCACACATGCTCAATGAACACAGGGTTCTAACAAGAGACCACATTTGTTCACTTCCAGCAACGACACAGATGGGCGACGAGATGATTGGCTTGGTCTACCTTGGAAGTTGGAATGAAGAGGTGGAGTTTTAGCTTTGACAATGGTTGGAACTTGGAGGTGAGTTCCGAGTGTTTTACAACTGGGTAAAGCCGAAGGGTCTGGCTTCCACTCTTCCAGATATATCCGAGTGTTTTAATTTATGCAGCATGGTCAAATGGGTGTCATTATATTTAGGCTTCCTTTGCTTTAATTTTGATGGGCTGTATATCAATTAGGCATGTCAACATTTCAAAAAGAAATTATCAATGAGCCGTTTCATGACATAATTAAGTTTTGGTTCAGGGATGCACAATACAGAATATTTTAATTAATTTAGTTTAAACAAAAAAATATTTTAAATCCCGTTTAGTCCTTCTATTTTCCAACTTATCAATCAATTTTTCAACCAAACATGTAATAGTAGTGGAAAATTAAGAAAGGAAGATAGAGTCACCCTTGGGAGGTGAAACCTGCCCGGCCCGCTACTGTGCAAGCCCGACCCGGATCGGTGAACCGGTTATGGTTCCGGGTCTAGGCTCGGTCCCGGGGGTTAGGACGGGACGGTCCCGGTTCAGCCCACTCTTTGGAACCGGCCCGGTCGGTCCCGGGCCCGGTTCGAGTCTTTTTTTTTTTTTTTTTTGACAAGATGAAATACAAACCTTACTAATGGAGTGTGTGTCAGTGTGTGGCTTAAAGTGTAAGTAGCTTCGGGTAGTAAATTAAATGGGTGACATTGATAATATCATGTGATTTTGGATAAAGTAGATTTTTTAATAAAATGATCTGCTATAAATTAAATAGATATTTAGAGAGTGGTGTATTCTTCATTTATATATATTGGTCTGCAAAGATTTTTTAACAAAATGATCTGCTAGAAATTAAATAGATATTTAGAGAGTGGTGTATTCTTCTTTTATATATATTGGTTTGCAAATTATATTAATTTAAGAAATGCTTTATTTTGTGAATATAGTTTGTGAATATGTTTTTTTTTTCAAGAGTCAATATGAAAATTGTAAAAAGAAAAGGAAGAAAAAAAAAGTAGGAAGGTAAAATTCACTCCGTATATTTCATTGGCATTTTTCTATTTATTTTTATATTCTACTTTTTTAGAATTCTACATTGTAGTAATATACTATGTACATATTCATGTATTTTATTTAAGTAAATAGTTTTTTAGTATTTATCCAATTTGAATTTTTTTAGTATTTTTTATTTATTTATATTTATTTTAAATATTTATGTGAATTTATATATATAAAACATTCAATTTTCTTTACTTTTTTTAAGAACTACTATGGCTAGATTGAATCTATATTGAAAATAAACGAGCTAAATTGATTCCATTACTTTTTTTACACAGGGATTCAATTTGCTCACTTTCAACATTTTGTCACAAATATAGTTTAGAAGTGATATAACACACTTTCACATATTTGCGCACCCCTATTTTGTCAGCTTACATGGGCAATTCATCTAAAAGTGCATTTCGCATAAATTTATAGTCACCCTATTATGTACTCATTATAAATAATTTACCTCTAATTAATTAATATTTATATATAAAGCAATGAAGCCAAAAAGTCACTATTGTTTTTGGAATTATGATGGAATAAAGCAAAATGACTCGGTAAGCTGTCTGCGTTGCGTTGTTATGAAACAATCAATTTGTCCATACATTGTTTGATGAAATTTTCATCATTAGTCATCCGAAAATAGTTTCTTTGTGTTTTAGTACAAGAGCTACTCTGCGTACATTTGATCTCCTTTACCTCACCATAGGTGTGAGCCTTTGTGTTACTCAGGTATTGGTGTTGATGATATACTTCGTATAAACACTTCAAAATAGAAAGAAACAAATTGACAAATGATTCAATTAAAATAACAATATTTTTTTAAATTTGAGTAAGATTATATTATTTGTGAAATTTCATCAACTGTGCATCGCACGGGTGTTCTACTAGTTTCATCAAAAAAATCCACCGGGAACCATCCCAAATGACGACGGCCAGACAGAACATCCTAAATAAGGGCTTATTTGACCTTTTTTTGTTAGTACAAGGGCCTATTTGCACCTTTTCCCTTTTTTCAATTTAGAATTAAAACTCAGCCTACTAAACATGCTGTAAAGAAATAATCTTGGGCTTTTCTTCGTAAACATCACCCAAAAAAACTTGGACTTAAAAATTTTCATTTTTTGGGTATAGGTCCACCGCCCCCTACCCCGGGCCGGCCCTGTTTCCAATCAAACTGAATCAAATCAAAGTTTGTAAAATAACACTGAAATTCAGGTTTGAAGAAAATCGAACCTGACTGAGTGAATTTGTTTGGATGTACTCATGTACTGACTAACTTTATCCCTCTGCTTCATCACGATAGAAATGATATGTCAGCAGAGGAGGGATTCTTGTTCATCGAAGAAGAAGATCGTCTTCGGAAATGATATATGAAGAGAAAAGGAATCTCGTCTCTGGAAGAAAGGCTGGGTTTTTTTCCTAAAATATTACTACAAAAAGTATGGACAAAAAGTTCACATCATACTAACTACGTACTCCGTAATTTCTAACACAATTATACTCACTTAAAGCTACTATGTCACTTTTTGTCCATCACTTTTCCAGCAATAAAATTTGTGGAATTTTTCCTAGAAATTTCACGTGCTCAAAATCACACGGAGTTGGGACTCATACCTATTTCTTTCCAAAAGCCATAGGGGTGTTTGACAATTTACCATTGGCTCTTAGCTGGCTGATTGATAACAACATATTTTGTTGACAATTTTGATTAACTGATAGTATTAGTGATTCGTAAAATGATATTTTATTAAATGGCTGTTTATAATTAGATGATAACTTGTTGAATAATTATTAAGGATATTAAATAATTTTTAGTTAATGTAATTACTATAACATCCTAAACCGCTTTTATGATTTAAAAAAGTAAAATTTACCATCTTTCTCCATCTGTATTTGTATTATTATTATTATTATTATTATTATTATTATTATTATTATTATTATTATTATTATTATTATTATTATTATTATTATTATTATTATTATTATTATTATTATTATTATTATTATTATTATTATTATTATTATTATTATTATTATTATTATTATTATTATTATTATTACTTTTATTGCTAATACTATTATTATTTTAATTGTTATTATTATTATTATTAGAATTATTATTATTACTTTTATTACTGCTACTATTATTATTTTAATTATTGTTATTATTGTTATAACATCAAAAGTAGGGGTTTTCCCCTAATATTAATAAAACTCAGGCTAATTTCCAAAAACAAAGCACCACATTTAAATTTGGACAAAAATGTGACTAATGCACACTTACATTCCCATAATGACATTGCCGGTAACAGTGACGCCTCCGCAGTGACATCTCCGTTGTCGCCGACCACAATGACATTGTTGCCGGCCACAAGGACACCGCTAGAGTGACACCGTCGCCGGCCATAGTGACACCGCCCAATGACCACCGCCGCACCGCTTCATACGATGATCACCGCCTAGCCCCTCCATGCCCCCACTAGCCACAACCCGATTCAACATCACCCCCAGCCGCAACTCAAGCACTAATCCGCCCCCCTCCCCCTCTTCATCCCCCCCCCCCCCCCCCCCCGACCGTCGCCACAACCCACCATATCCTAGTCTGCATGAAACCACACCTAATCCGCCCCAGCGCCGCCCAGCTGCATCCCAGAGAGACATCCTTGCACCAACAATCTGAGATCGCCGCAATAGATCTGTAATCGCCGCCGTAGATCTGTAATCGCTGCCAGAGATGTGAATTTCCGTCAACAGTGCCATCATTGAAGGGATAAGGAGGATGAAGTTAGCGAACAACAGCAACTAAGAAGTTGAAGTGTCGCAGTGGTGGTCGCCATGATTTCCGCTTCTCATTGGTGTCACAGTGATTGTCGTCGTCTTCACTAGAGGTCACGCTCGTCTTCTCTGGAGGTCTTCTCGCCGTCGAAGACTTGCTCAATCATCCCTGTTCGTGCGCAGAAGGACAAACTAAGATGAAGTGTGGTTTTTTTTAGAAGAGAAGAGGACGTTTTTTTAGAAGGAAGAAGCGGAGGTTTTTTTAAGAAGAAGAAGTGGGTCACTTTTTGTCAAATTTAATTCAATCATATTTTTGTATAATAAAAGTTAGAAGGTAATATTTGTGCCATTATTTCTAAAAAGTACGTGTATATTTTATAACAAAACTTCTTTAACCTTCTTCAAATGGACTTTCCCTTCCCCCAAGACTAATTGAAGCTAAATTGAAGAAATAGCTCAAAGGATACTATGTATTTTGTTGGATATAGGCTTGCTCTCTTCATTGTTGTTTTTATCTTCCGCAACAAGTTAATTACATTGGAGATGGTTTTGAAAATTAAATGATGTATGGAACGCGGATGCAAGTGGATGTGGTCACGTGGGTATTTAAGGAATATATGAAAGGATATGAAAAAGCCACTTGTAAAATGTCAGGATTAGTAGTTTCTCATATTTTTGGTTGTTTGGGCTAAAAAGCCAAACAAATAGGCCTGTTAACAAACACCTACTTAGCCAATTGATTTGGCCAAAAGGCAAAATTTTGATCAAATCAGCCAAAAAATGTGTGATAGGCTCTTAACCAAGCACCCCATAAACGTGAGTTGTTGATTATTTTTCATTTAATTTCTAAATTTAATCAAAAGTAAAAGCAATTTCTACAATTATTTTCATTGATTGTAATGTCCTGGATTAGTAATTCGTCTATTTATCATGTTCTGAATTAATAAAATTCTTTTTTTTGTATGTAGATACTAGAAAGTAGAATATGTAAGATTTTTCTTTGTATCCGCCATCCCTACTTTTGTCATGGGTATGATCCACGCTAATGGTGGAGCAGGTTCTGGGCCGTTTGGGTATGTTTGAAGGCTGAGGGCACAAAATTAAAATGGGTCTTATTGAAAAAAATTGTAAAACTCTTCCACTAAACTAAAATGCATAATAATAATATTTCAAGACATTTATAAAAAAATGTTAAATCATCTTCTCTCTAGACTAATAATATTATAGTATTGGTGGTCCTTATTTTGAAAGGAAACAATGTTGTTCCTATTTGTACACTTGTTTCCTTACGACCTGTTTGGATTGAGTGTTGAGCAGTGTTAGTAATGCAAGTGTTAGTAAGTGTTGATATTAACACTTGTTTGGGAGAAAAAATAAGAAGTGTTAATAAGGGTCATGAAGTGTTAATAATTACCTCCTTAACACCTC